CCAAGATTTCCGTCTACGGCGACGCCTCGCTGAGCGTCACTCGGCGTGGCCATGCAACCCCCAGCATGGCGATAAGCACTTACGGCACCGGGACTTTCGCGCTGGATTATCCGGCGTTGGTGACGGTCACAGCCGCGGACTCGGAGAAGGGGTGCACGGTGCATGTGAAGAGTGAGAGCAAGGTGACCATTTGGTCAGGCGAAGACGAAGACGAAGGTCCCGGTCATTCGAGTGCACATGATGCGATTATTTCTCAGGAGGCATGAAGTGGAAGTCATGGACGAGACGGTCGATACAAGCTGAGCGGCACCAGTGTGCAGTTAGGTACCCGGCACCTTGAAAGCCGTCCATTTCTTTTCTCCAAAGACAGGAATACCGACTTGGATCTTATTCCAAACTTCCCTCTCTTTCTTGAATTCCCCAACGTCGAGTGTCTAGCGGACGGGCCTTCAAATCACTTGCATAAGATCCAGTGTAAAGTACCACTGGTTTTTTTTTTGGCTCTAACTCTCTTGCAATCGCTTCTTTCCTCCGTCTTTCCTGCTTCCTTTCCTGCTTCCTTTCCTGCTTCCTTTCCTGTTTCTTACAAAGTTCAAACGCTAGAATTCCTCCCCCCATTTCTCCCCATACAGCAGTGCCGCTATCATCCAGTCCACAAACAACCCATCCTTCATAATATCGGCATATCAGGTACCTAAAGGTACTCATCTCTCTGCAACTCCAATATCCAGCCCCGGCCCTCGTCTTCACACCTCAGCCAACCTAAAACTTCATCCCCCCCTCCCTACAACCCCTCACATACCCCTCAAACACCCCTCTCCGCTTATGGTCCATCTCCACCCACTCCCTAGTCTCCTTAACCGTAATCTCATCCCTCCCATCCGGGCCATCCCCCTTCTCCAGCTCTCCCCAAGTGAAATCAGCAAACTCATCCAGCTCCATACCAAAATCGCCCTGCCCCTGCTCTACCAGATCCTTCTGGATCTTATGCAACTCCGTCTTTACGGCCGGAGGCAAGATCTCGATGACCTTGATGTGTTTCGTGTGCTCTGCTTCTGGGCCGGTAAGTTGCGCGCGGAGAGACCAGACGAGAGAGTGCGTGGCGGCTTTGGTTGCGCAATAGTTGGCGCAGCGGGAAGGGGGATGAGAGAGAGGCAGGAGGAGACCACGATTATGGATGTGGGCTGGGGGGAGAGGGAGATGAGGTGCGGGAGGAAGAGGGTGATTAGATGCAGGGGGGAGAGGTAATTGGTTGTGAGCTCGGTGGAATGGGCGGCTAGGTCAATTGTTTCGGGCTTAGTGAACAACAAGGTCTTTTGGAGGCCGGCGTTGAGGACGATGGAGTCCAGCTTGGGGTAGGTGGTTGTGATGCTGTTGGGTGTTAGTGAGGTGAGACGGATAGAAGATGGGGGAGACAACGTACTGCTTAACCCAGTTCGGAAGGGCGGAGAGGTCGGAGATATCGAAGGGTTCGGCGGCGACCTTGTCGGAACCGTGCTTTTTGACAAGGTCGTCGAGGCGTTCCTTGCGGCGACCAACGGCGATGACGAAGACGCCGCTTGCGATCATGCGCTCAGCGAGGGCCTGGCCGATGCCCGAGGTGGCACCGGTGATGAGAACGGTCTTGTATGGGAAAGGCATTTTTGATGATGGTATGGTGACTGTTGATCTGGTGAGTTGTGGTTGGAAGAGATCCTGCGGAGGATGGGGAAGATATAAGCGATAACGGAATTGGAGGTATGCATGTTATACCCGGAGTCCGAACATGAGGGGTCCGGTTCGGCAGTCGTTAAAAATGGAACACATAATACAATGCAATATCCGGCAGGTTTAGCCGGTGGGGCGGCTTCAAGATGACCTCACGACTCTCTGACGATAACGTGTGCGCGGGAGGAACACCAACATTGGCATAGAGCTGAACCTCGGAAACCACCACTCAGTCACCAGTGTGCCACTCAAGCACCACATGTTGCGGTCATTCACGGGGTTCCCGAAAACGTGGTGGTTTGACCGACCAGCTCTCTTTGCCGCACCTGGCAAGCCCAACACCGAAGGGAATAAAAGCACCTTAGCCCCCACCGGCATTACTCCAAATGCACCACCCTCTTCACCATCTCAACCTTTTTAAACTCAACATCACTCTGCACCGTAACAAACGTTCGCCTCTCTGCCACCTCTCCCCTTCCATCTTGGCTTGTAACCCAATCTAGCACAACCAGATACACCGTATCCTTCACGAACCTCCCCTCCTGCCCCTGCATATGCCTCAACCTCTCCACAACCAAGCACTCATACTCTCCCGTCTTCAACGTATACGGATGCGGGAAATTCCTCTCCGACACAATCCCAAACGGTTCTTCCTCATCCTTCTCCGGCTTCTTGAAGAATGCTTCGCTAAACGGTTCAGTGCGAATATAAAACTTGCAGACATAACCGTTGAGGGTAAGTCTCTTCCCTTCGCAGCCGATGAACTCAGGAACCATGTCACTCTTCACATCCCTCCCTCCTCTTATATTTCTGGCATTCACGAGCGAGCCATCTTGCAAAGAAGTCTGTCCGAACGTGACGTGTCCTTCCCAGCCGCACCAGCTCCACGATGGGAACCCTTCGCGTCTTTGGGGGCGGGCAATGTCCCATGGCGGGGAGTCTTTGTGAAGCAGCTTGGGCTCGGGGAATTGCCAGTCATGCGACCAGCCTATGGTGAGAGGAAGTTCCCGGAGGGGAAGACCCCATTCGAACCCCGAGGGGAAGAGGCGGCGCTGGAGTGCGGAGAGTAGCCCGAGGCAGGCGTTGAGGGAGTCAGAGGACCTGGACATTTGGCGATGGGTGTAGTCCATTATTAAGCCGGTGTAGAGGAGGGTTCGTTGGGGGTTGGTGACAGAGATCTGCCCGTCCATTGTCAGCTTGGATGCATGGAAAGTAAGGGGAAGGGGAAGAGAAAGGGGAGGAAAGGGAACTGACCTTGGTGTCAGTCAGGTTAAACCCATTCATCAACTGCCTGAAAGAATCCATAGGCCTGTTGGACAAGTGTCCGTAGCAGCTCGGATCATAGGCGTCTGGTGCTCCAAATCGCTGACACGAGATGCCGAGTTGTTTGTCCGAGAAAAAGAGGGATCGTTTAGACAGCATACCCTCTTGGAAAGTCCAGGCGCGGGTATCCCATGCCGATGCGGCCATTTCGTCTTCGACTACAGCGGGGATGGTGAACAGCTTCCGGCCGTTGATGGTCTCTTGGAGCTGCATCTCGCGGGGACGGGTAACTCCGCACAGACCGGCGTTGGAGTTTTGGCCAGAGAGGGCGATAAGGGTTACGGCGGCGCATTGGTAGATGAGGTCCATCATGGCGAGCTGTTGGGTCTTCTCGGCCTTTTCTTTATCAGACAGTGTTTTCCAGGGTTTCTGGTTGACGCAGAGGGCGTCGACCTGGAATGATTGTCAGATGTCAGCTGGTTGAGCTCCAAGCTCAAATGGTTGGGGGCCGGTACTACGTACCCAGAGATACCGCTTCCCAAGCTTCTTGGTAACGGTGATGGAATCCTTGATAGTCTGCGGCAGGGTATTCTTGTCCAGAGCTTCTTCCTCCACCATGACGCCGCCCCAGGTGTAGCTCAAGGCCACATACTCGCATCCTTCCGGGTAAGGAACCACCTTGCGCTCATGGACATCGATCATCTTGGTCGTGAATAGTTCCTTGGGTCTTGTGGAGATGCAATACTCCTTGTGGTTCTTCCAGCACACATCGAGGCCATTCTTGGCGAACCCAAAGTCGACATAGGGCTCGACCAACCGCCCGTTGTACTCTTGCCGGCCAGGAAAGGTGTCTTCGGTAGCTAGACAGATAGCCGGACCTGTCATTTCCGGGCTTCCGACACCGGGTTCGTCATCAGAGAAGAGCAAAGGGGCTCGGATGCCATGGACGATGTGACTGAGATGGCGCAAGCCCAGGAACATGGCACTTTCAGCCCTTGTCTTCTCAGGAAGGTACTCCCAACCGGTATGTCGAACGTAGGCGCGGTAGGGGATGAGCCTCATGCCTTTAGTGTCGGGCCGTATTCCTTCGGTGGGCATGATGCGGTAGATGAGCCGGCAGAAGGGACAGGAGGCGGATAGGTGGAGGGATCCGAGTTCACCTAGATCCAGCTCGTAGATCTTGAGGCGCGCAAGATACACTCTAAATCCATCGTCGTCCTCCGGAAGTAGGCCTGAGGGAAGAGGTTCAGCGAGCTCAAAGGCCTTAAGCGGGTCGTAGTCGGCGCATCGGTTGCAAAGAGAGCTAGGTTTGTCTTGAAGTTGGTGCAGGAGCTTCTCATCATTGTTAGAGAGTGGACAAAGCTCATTGAACTGCTCCTCTCGTCCGAAACGTCCTGATTGTTTCGCTTCATCTTGGGATTCGTGGACGAGGGGACATGGCATTGAGGTCGGCTCAAGCTTCCGGCAAAAGATGCACAATCTGGAGTCCCCGGATGCCATTGAAGAAATTAGTTCCTGCGAATGCTTGATCGAGTAACGAAGCTCCTGTTAAAGTAGGCAGCGTGGAAGATTTGGTCTTCAGCTGTGCCGTGCCTACAACTGACTGCTGGCTGCCCAATATCCGATCGCCATAAGCATTGCTGCCTGGGGGATTTTGGCGGCTGACGGAACACCAAAAGCGGATTGGTCTGTCTCGGCGGCATGATTGTGGCTGAAAACATTCTAGCGACGAAGATGTGCGCGATGGTTGAGAGGAGAAAGGGACAAAACGGATGAACCTGGCAAAGTAGAGGGAAGAGATGCTGAGATGGCGAATATCTGCTGTTGAACTTTGTCCGCTGCCCCTGGTATTTGCGAGCACCTAACACGCTGAGTAGCCGTTACTGCGCGAGCGGCTATTCTGGGGCGCTTTAATCCTCAAATGCAGGTAGTTTCAGGAAGTGTCCCGTAAACGCCTTCATTGAAGATGGACCAATTTCTGCTTCGGTCGTGCAACCATGAACCCAGAATCGGCAAACAAAGTGATAGACGTCCTTCTCGTGGCGACCTCCCCTTCCCAATCCAGAACAATCATATGAACAGTTTCCGCAGTGTAACGCGCATTTCTTCCCTTTCTTCTCTTCTGCCTCTCTATAAACAAGCAGGAATATTTGCCCGTAGGCACGGCATTTTGAACAGACGGAAGAGCTCTCTCCCTGACCATTCCTAGGGGAACCCTCTTTGCATCCCGACCTAGCTCGTAGGTAAACGCCTCACTGAAAACATCAGTGCGCACTTCCAGGTTGACCAGCCATGTTTTGACAGTGAGTGCCACTCTATATGTGGCATCAGGTATGTACATATGGTACGGCCCGTCGTAACCCTCTTCTTGGATGGAGACGAACTGCGGTGTCAGGTCACTGAGCATGTCCTTCTTTCCGGGTACCTGAGGGGCAAGCAGCGAGAGGTCAGAGAACTGCACATTGCCTTCCCAGCCGCACCAACTCCGGAAAGGAAAACCACGAGTTTCGTTACGCCGCTTGGGCGCTTGACGCCCGTGGTATAAAGCCTTTCCATAATACCATGAGTCCGGAACGTGAGTCCATCCAAGAGTGATTGGTAAATCTCGCAATGGGAGGCCGCAATCAAATCCGGAGGCGAACATGCGCCTCTTAAGCGCCGACAGTATGCCTTCACAGGCCGCCAGAGAGTCAGAATCGTAAGATAAATACCGCGTAGTATAGTCCGTAACGACGTCGACGAATGCGAGGGCACGACGATGCCTCAATACATCTGTCTATACCGGGAATTTATGTGAGCTGCTGCCCCCGAACAGCGACAGGAACAGAATGGGATTGCGATTCCACTTACTATTCCATTGCAAACATCGAAGGAGTTTATGGAGGCAAAGATTGGGGAAGCGATGGCAAGCCTTGAAAGGAACGATGCTTACGCCTTTGAAGTTGGGAGGCAAATTTGTTGATGGCAGAATGCGGTAAATGAGACGACAAAACGGGCAAGATGCGGCCAGTTTTAGGTGTCTAAGCTCTCCCAATTTGAGTGCATGAAGACGCAAGTCCTGTATGTAAGCCTCCAGGCTGCCACTGTCTGTTGAAATCATAAGTGTCGGGAGGCTGTGCGAACTTGAACACGCTTATCGGATCATAGGCGGTGCACCGCTTGCAGAGCGAGCTTGGTTGTGTCTGCAACCACCTGAGTAAAGATTCGTCGGCATCTGATAGAGGAGCATCTTCCCTGGTCCTTCCCAGTGAGTCCCGGCATGAGGTTGCGGAGCCAGCCTCAAGAGACGGACATGGTGCCGAGCTTGGCTCAAGTTCTCGACAAAAGATGCACAGTCTGTAGACCTCTCGCGAGAGAGGCGTGTTACGATCCAATCAGAGAATCCTATGTAGGCTAGACTAAATGACCCAAAGGGAGGACCCGAGACGAAGGATCGGGTCCACGGGTCCAGTATATCGGGTCCAGGAAGGCCGGTATAAAAGAAGGCCTCCCCAGGCCTCTTGTTACCGGATCTTCAGCAAGCAATAGCTATCACAATCTACCAGTACCTTTCGGCTACTACTCTCTTACTCTATTGTTCTATCCCAGCGATAATACTCCTGTGCTTGTAACGGTTCGTCACAAGGCGCTCCTAAGGCATACTGGGAGGCGATCTTTGCTGGTTCCGCGGTGATTGTTCTCAAAACTGGTTCGGACCCCAGCAGTGGCTCATATAAACGTCTGACGAAGAACTCTAATGTTCAGCTGAAGCACCCGCCTAGCAGCCACGGGAATGACTGCCCAATCGCCGCGTCATATAAACATTCATGGTGGCTGTATTGATGTCTGGTCAGTATCAGCTGCCTATTGACGCCCATATCCGGTTCGTGTGGCCTGCCTCAGCGAGGGCCTTTGGCGTAGCCTTGCGATAATAGACTCCGATACGGGAAAAGACGGCTGATTGACAACCATTGAGAGAGATTGTCAAGAGGGATGTCTGGAAGGGTCGCCGGTCTAGGGTCTTAGCGATATTACACGTACGGTAGGACAACGTCGTGATGTGGCCATTGCTGTTGTTATTGTTGTCGGCACAATCCATCGTGTGTGCTTTGAGACCATGGTTAAAACCAACGGGAAAAATTAATGGTGCTGAATTAGTTTGATGGAAGGGAAAGAACCCGAGAGGAATGCCAGTCCTCCAGCTGAATCAGGCACCCAAAGAACGAACACTTGGTGGGCGATGACGAAGTCGAGACAAAAGCACCTTCCCTAAGGCATGTAAGTTTGTGGTTTGACGCTAAAGTGCAGAGAAATTCAGGGTATTGTAGCGCATGACGTGCTAAATCACGAATGCCGTTTGCGAAGTGGCAGAGGTTCAAGATAGGAGGTTAGTTGTCGTGACATTCAGGTTGGTGTTTTTGAGCGAAAGTCAAAAACCCGGATGAAGTCGAACTTCGGACGAGACAAATCCGGAGTCCACAGTCCACACTGCCCCGGCCCGCCCGTTGGTCTTGGGACGTCCCGCAGTTAGTTGCCGGGCTTGCCGGAATCGGGACCGGGACGGCTCAAAGCGGGTCCCGGTCTGCGCTATCCCGCATTTCGAACCTGTGAGCCGGCACTTGGTGATGGCGTCATGGGGTCCGATATTTACCCCTCCTGAACATCATCTTCCACAGCTTCGCACTTTGAGACCTTTCCAATTTACTCTGTGTCACTCTACCACAGGTGAGTCAATTTGTCGCATTTGTCATCAGAGCTCGGAGACAGGCGGGGTTAAACCACTTGACTCCGCGCTGCCGTTTGGTGGTCCCCCACACAGCCCCTCACGCAGGGTGTGGTGTTTCCATGTCAACAAAACACCACATAAACATCACCACCTGCCGTTCCCAGAGCCATTGCTTTATAAGTCAAACATCTAATCAACCCATCTACCTATCCAGACCCCGAGCAAAAACCGCCACCATGCCTCTCATCGCCCAATCCCCCAAGCCCCGCGTGATCCTAGGTCTCATGACCTTCGGCACCGACACCGAGACGGGCGCGCGCGTCACCACCGTCCCGGAGTTCGGCAAGGTCCTCGACCTCTTCCAGTCGCGGGGCTACAACGAAGTCGACACGGCGCGGATATACATCGGCGGCAAGCAGGAAGCCTTTACTCGCGAGGTCGGGTGGAAGGACCGCGGCTTGACGTTGGCTACCAAGATTATTTATCCTAGCAACGGAGGAGATAACATCCGTGAAAAGGTCCTCGAAAGCGCGGAGATCAGCTTGAAGGAACTGGGGACGGATGTCATTGATATTTTGTATTTGCATGCTGCTGTAGGTTTCCCTTCCCTTCCTGTCCCTTTCCTAGCCATGCCGGAAGCTGGTAGAGGAAAGCAAGCTGACAGAGACACGTAAAAAGGACCGCAAAACCCCCTTCGCCGAAACCCTCTCGGCCATCAACGACCTCCACAAGGCCGGAAAATTCGTCCGCTTTGGCATCTCCAACTTTACGTCCTTCGAAGTCGCCGAGATCGTCATGACATGCAAGTACAACAACTGGGTTGTGCCGACCATCTACCAAGGCATGTACAACGCCATCACGCGCTCTCTCGAAACCGAGCTCGTTCTGGCTTGCAGGCGCTACGGCCTCGACATCGTCGTCTACAACCCTCTCGCCGGCGGCCTTTTCTCCGGCAAGATCAAGTCGGCCGACATCGTACCCGAGTCAGGCCGCTTCTCGGACGTCAACAAGATGGGCGCCATGTACCGCGGACGATACTTCAAGGAGTCGACCTTCCGCGCGCTGCAAGTGGTTGAGCAAGCGATTGAGAAGGCTAAACTCACGATGATCGAGACGGCGCTCAGGTGGGTGGTGCATCACTCTGCGCTGAAGGTTACGGATGGGAATGATGGTGTGATTATTGGTGTTAGCAGCATCGATCAGTTGGATAACAACTTGACGGATCTGGAAAAGGGACCGTTGCCCCAGGAGGTGGTGGATGCGCTGGATGAGGCGTGGAGGATTACCAAGGTTGATACGGTCAATTATTGGCATGGAAAGGTGGAGTATGGGTATGATGTTAGGGAGGCGCTGTTTGGGAAGGGTGCGAAATAGGAAGGACGGCCGTGGAAGTTATAGTTGGTAGAGAGGTAGGGTAATGATGTTATGAATTGGCTCATCATGCCGTATTTTTGGTCATATTGGTATATGCAGCATTAAAGTCGACGTGAATGCTCGTGTTAGCCTGGATATACGAACTGTCAACATCACTTCAAGTCTTGGGTTGGCTTGTCCCTAAGGTCGAATGCTGGTTTGTTTGTTAGCCCGAGACCTCTGGCCAACTTCTCTAGGCCATTTGATCTCCAGATGATCCGTTTCGCTTTATCGAAAAAGCATACCTTGAATATATCTTTTCCGAACTTGGTCATGCCTCATTGAATCTTGTTAATGGCCCTTGGAGCTGAACTTATCGATTCATTATATACCTGTAAGCTTCAGGATAATTCAAGAAAAATATCGTCCAGTAAACCATGCGTACCGAACTAACAAACAAGCCAGCATCAGACTATCCTAATTGTATAGCCATTCTCAATAAAAGTTTTCTCCGTCCAAATCCAGTGTCAGTCTTGCAGCCCCGCTGACCCGCCCGGTCATCCGTGTCCCGCCCGTCCGTAGTCCGTACCGTGTCCGTGCACTCCGGATCCCGTACCCCATACCGTGCGCCGACGCCGAGACGGGACAGCTGAGACTCCGCATTTCAGGGGGGACGCAGCGCTTCCAGAAGTTCTTCAGCTGGGCCAGGAGCATCCCCGGCCGGTCCGTAGATTTGGAGTCTCGTATTCCGTACCCCCCACACATCCACGTAATCTCCGTGTTCTGGAACTTTGACTGTGCGGTTCCAACTCCATTTTGTTGGGACTTGGGGGGACGTTCGATGTTTGATGTATGGTGTCGACAGCTGGCGGCAAGAAAGAATATCGACAGTGAATTATCAACTTTATGCTACCTATTTTGGTTTTTCGAGCTTCGGGTGTGTTATGCTAGCATGAGCAAGTTAACAAACGAAGTCGGCCCGGCGATCGATCATCGATGAATGGTAACACAGTACCCGCCAACTCCGAGTCGAGCGCGATGATGCACTCCAAAATCACAACGATCTGCATGGATATAAATAGGGCCAAACACAAGGCGAGACACAAGAACGTCCGTCCTTCGGGACAAACGGCGACGGGAGTCACGGAATGGGAATGGGAATGCGAATGTTTGGGTCACTCAGAGCATGTCATGCCGATGTCCCGGCTTTCGGGTTGGACCCGAGCGTCTGGTCTGGGAGAATCGAAAACGAACGACGAGATACCAGAGGAGCCATCAGCGTTTTTTGACGTTTGCAGTTCCAGGAAACAACCATCCCACTCCTACCTCTATCGGTGCAAAGCCCATTCAACCTTTGTCGTTGACGTTGAGGAACCGGGGGCTGCCATCGACTGGCGTTTCGGAGGCCTATCATGTTTTCCATTCTGCATTTGGATGGCGGGAAGCGGTCATGAAATTCGGTGTCTTTCCAGTCGTACAAAGGTACCTAGTCAACTGCCGGACCGCAGTTCGACGTCGCAAAGTCATTCGCGTTTCTTTTCTCGAGGAAGCAAAAAGCAAAAATGTTAAGCGCCGTCGCCATTGCCGTGCGATCATCACCTGCATATCCACCGCCGACAGGTGCAACCGTGAGGTGACTTGCATGCAGGGTTCCATTCTCTGCAGGAATCTCGTGCTCTTCGGCGGCTGGAGATCGAAGAAGCTCGTTTCTTCTCTTTCTCGGCATTAGCTTTTGTGTTTCTGAGACTGCACGACAACTTTTTTGAATGATCGAGGTCAATTTTGTAAAGTTGTAGAGCCATGTCAAGCTGGAGCTTTCCCTCCGACAACTGCCAAGACATGGAAGATGTTCTGGACTGCTGAATGATGGAGCCGCTCACGAATCTCTGTGACCAACCAACAGATTTCAGGAGACGACGTTTCTTGCAATTTCAACATCAAGGAACGTTGGACCCATGGGATTTTTTTACCAGGCAGTTTTTGCGGACCACGATGTTTTGCCCTAAAGTCTGGCGATGTTTCAGATTCCCCCCTCTACCCCCTCGCTTGCCCTGTCAGTTACGCTTTCCCCGGAGGACGCCCGCCGAACGAACGAAGAAGGCGGCTGTGCAACCACTCACCATCCAGAGACATGTTGCCATCCACGGCATCCACATCCACAGTTCACACCATCTTCCAGGTGGTCTGGGGGGCTTGTATTTGTTGGCCGCGTGCTGTACCCCAGACTTTTTTTTTCTGTCTTTTTGTCTCTCGTGAGATGTGAATGGTTACCAACGAGCTGGTCTCTGGGCCCGCGGATCGTGACCCGTCCAAGCCAAGCAGGCCCGGAGGTTGTGGCCTTGGTGGCATGGCCCGCTGCATACAGATCCGCTTCGATGTCTTGCTCTTCAGAAGAAAGCGGGACGATAGGATGACAAGCATTTCGGCTGTTGAAAAGTTCTTTTGCTAGTGTTGTGCAGTAGTCTAGGTAGTGCGGAGTTAAGATGTTTCGCTTGGGACTGGTCTTGGTGGTGGCAAGACAACGGTCGGCTGAGATGAGACCTGGAGTCGCCAGACACCAGGGAGTGGAGCAAGACATCGTGAACTTGACAGAACACTTGCTGGGCTGAAGAGAAATGACGATGGTCCCGATGTGGGGGAGGGGAAACTTCGACTCATTGTTGCACTGCACCGCCGCTGTCTGGCAAAAAAAGCAACGCACCGCACTGTCAACTGCGCCAGAATGCATGTTTGTGGTTTGGTAACCACGTGGATGGCCCGATGAGTCGTGACAATTCCAGCTGGGTGGTTCGGTAGGAGAAGAGAGTCAAGGGACGATGTGTGTTTGTTTTTGCAGCATGTTCTCCAGATTCAGACGAGGACATCGGCAATTTGGAGGCGTCTTCAAACAGTCACCAAGAATGACGGTCATGATGCAAAGGAACCATACATCAGTGGTAGTGCTTCTTCAATCAACGTGCAGCCAGGAACAGGGGCCATGGACCTGTCGTCGACCTGTCGAAGTGGTGTGTGCTCTATATGGTCTTGCTTTTGTGGCTGGTTTCTTCAGCCCTGCAGAAGGAAACCGTCTTGTTCTAAAAGTTCCTTCTTGGCAACGTCGTGTCTTGTGTCTGGCCCGTCTTTGTGGTTCGTGGGTTGGTGGTGACCTTTTGTGACGGTTTGGGAACGGGAAGTGCCTGGACTAGCGGTAGGAATTCCTGTTGGCACATTGAACAAAGGATTTGAGGTCGAGATAGGCTTCCAGTTAGGCATATTCCGGTGCCGTGAGCCGTCTCTTATTTCGTCCCATTTCTTTAGGACAGCCCGACCTCACATCGCTATTAGAGTCCGTCATCTTCACATTGACAACGATCCGATGATGGATTGATGCCAGAGCGATGGTCCGGATGATGGACGATGATGAGAGCCAGGGGAAGTTCAGGACAAGGGGTTCGTGTTTCGACTCACTGGTGGGGAACCACTTGAATGTCCAGGTTCCGTGTTCTGATTGGTTGATTTGCCAGACCGAAGCTGTCCAGAACATGTGATTGGCTCGGTAGGGTGTGAGCTGGCTTTGGTGATGCATGCTCGCTGTAGCCGCCAGTTACAGGCTGGATTAACATCAGACCTCGTATTGCTAACGCAGAAGCAACCATTGTTCCATCGACATGAGTTAGCAGAACTTAATCATGAGATGGTGATCCCAGCTCTCCTCCTCACCGGACGCTTACCTCATCTCGCATCGAGTGGTAATTGCACCCTCTCATTGGTCCGACCGAAGGGCATCTTTCCTTCACTCACCCTCTTCAGGCTTTTGGCTTTCGCTCAATCATCGGTGGCTGCTATCCGCTAACCCTTGTGATATCCCCACTTCCCCTGCTGCAGTTGACCAATCGTTGTTGTTCCTTTGGCTCCTGCTCTCGCTAACCCAGTGCTTGCCCACACTGTTTTCCTCTTTTTGACTCTACCTCCTCTTGTCCTCTTGTCCTCTTGTCCTCTTGTCCGCCCCGTCCGGATTGCGCAGCCAGCACGCGTTCGGTTCAGGGAATTCTCCCTTGCTCTTGCCCGCCCGTCTCTCATTCTGGCTCGTGGTCCCGGCTTTCTGCCCACACAGTCCACTGTTCCCCAACGTGATGCCCTGTGAGCTAGGGCCAGGCGAGCACCTGTCCGCCCGACAGGCAGGTCAACTGCACTCTCTTGACTTTTGACTTCCCACCTGCTGCCAATTTGTTCCCGTCTCCTCGGCTCTCTCCAGTCTTCCACTTCAGACACATTCACCTTTTCCTCTCCCTTTTTCCTCTTTTTTCATCGCCATCTAGATCGCCCTTCCTTTTTCTAGCCTCGTCCGGCAACAACCCCCTTCCTCTCTCCTCTTCCTCTCCTATTCGTGCAAAGACGTCGTTCGTCGTCGCTTTGTTTGTCGTCATCGTCGTCGTCGTCGTTGTTTCGAATTTTGTTCCTTCTCCATTCTCAGCTTTACTGTTCTACCATAGTGTGGCACCGCCCCCAGGTCTTGCAGTCGAATCCCTTTGTGCATGCCTCTTGACCGTCCGTCCGTCTTCCTCGTTGATTGAAAAAAATTGACAAGACCATCTCCACTCGAGAAACGTCCCCAACAGACGCGCCTTTCGTCGCTCTCGGCTTTTTCTCTTCGAGATTCCTTCCTCGACCACGCACACCACACCACACCTCACCCACCCACTAGACCGCACACAACTGCAGAAATCTCCCAAAATCCCATCCAAAACCCAAACAAACCCCTAGCTGGGCAATAGGACAAAAAAGATCGGTCGCATCACCAACAAACAACAAAAAGGTTATTCCTTTTAATCCTTGTATTCTACTTCGGCTGCACACGCTATTTGTTATCAACACCCCATTTTATCTCGCGTGTTTTCCGTCTCGTCGAACCTCGGCCTCGATTGGTTTTTTTCCTCGACAACAACGCAACGCACCCCCAAACGCTTTCGCACTCCAACCACCACGATCACCCTTCGTTCACACAATAATCTCTGGCAGCAACGTTCTTCAAAGGCAATTGATTGTCCTTGATTCGGAAAGAGCAGTATACTAGGGTCATCATCGTGGAGACGTGATCACCCATCCCGGATACAGCAACTGTCTCCCACACACTTTGAGAGTGGAAAAGAAAAAGGATCATCAGTCCCTCTTGTTCATTGTTGTCCAAGACGCTCCCGTCCCTTTGGAACAAGTGGAAAAGGTGTAGCTCTGGCCAGCTCTGTCCCCTCTCTGTCCCTTTGTCTGTCTCCATTCCGAGAACACAAAGGTTTGACTTCTCCACGCGTCGTCGCTTCCCCGCTAGAGGTACTAAACCCGACAGCCACACGCACCACTGCCACTGCCAGCCTGCACATCCACTGCCGCTAGCAGCTGTGTTTTAAGGTTGTTGTCTCCTGACCCGGTCCAGTCCAGGCTTGCACACACACTTGTCTTCGGTCTCAACCGAACCAACTCCTCCACTTGCTTGACACCACCGCACTGCACCTTACCAAGGCTCGCACCGGTTCGTTCGACCAAGTTCGCCACCTCACTCCTCTTCTCGACAAGTCATCAACTACAAACTTGAACAGCACCCCACCGTTCCTTCTTTCCTCATCCACCATCCCAGCGATCGCGCGAGGTCGTTTTTTTTCCACCTTCTCTCTCCGCCGACCGACGACCGTCTTCTGGTTGCAACAGTCGACGACCATCGACCGCTTCTTTCCCTCTTCTGTTCGTCGCGCCGGCTTCTGAACGCACGCTCTGTCCGCTCATTCGGCTTCCATCATTAACAGCACAATCTTTCGACCTCCCGTCTTTCGACAATCTCTTAATTGGAACTCTCCCAATCACCATCAACTGTTTTTATACACAACAACAATCATCTGCATTATCTTCGGTTTGGGGTCTTGGTACAGGCTTCTTCGACTTCATATCGTTTTCGCATTCTTCGAGAGAAAATAGAGCGGTCGCAACATCAGAGCGTTTGATCACGTTCTTGCAGCAACCGGTATATTCTTCCTAATATCCATCCATCATCATCATCATCATCATCATCATCATCATCAAAAATGGCGCACATGCAGTACAACCAGCAGGCCATGCCCTCTGGTCTGTCTTCAAGGAGAGGCGGCCAGAACATCAAGCCTCTCTCTTTCGACTTCAAGTCCATCCCCGAGAACGACACCGGCATTCCCACGCCCCGCACTAGCCGCTCTCACCTTCTTGCTGGTCTTAGAACCGCCCCCAAGTCGGCCACCGCTACCAGCTTTTCCATCGGAAACGGCCCCGCCTCGCCCACTGTCAACCCTCATGCCCGGAACAACCGCAACTCGATTACTCCCGGCATGTATGATGCCGGCGCCAGCTACCTGAACGGACCTAAGACGTCCATGCCGACCTATGGTGGCATGCACCAGGCTCAACAGCAGGCCATCCAGCAGCAGGCTCTCTACAACGCCGAGGTCGCCGCCTATCAGCAGCAGCAGCAGCAGCAGCAGCAGTACACAACCGACCAGGGCATGGTTTCGCAGCTTTCGATGGAGGACTCCGTCCAGGGAGAGCTTGATCCCAATGTGCACGCTCAACTCATGTACACTAATCACGTGCTGGCTCAGCGTCAGCAACAGTTGCAACAGCAGCTGCAGGCCCTGCAGACGGCTGCCCAGCAGCTCCAGTCCCAGGGTTACCGTATGCAGGGACAGGCCCCGGCCGCGCAGCAGAACCACCAGTCAGCTGTTTACCAGCAACAGATGCAGCAACACGTTCAGCAGCAGGTGGAGCAACTCCAGCAGCAGCGTCTCCAGCAACAGTACTTGGCCCTTCAGCAGGCCCGTGCTCAGCAAGCTGCTCAGATCCAACATCTCCAGCAGCTCCAGGCCTTAATGACCCCGACTGCTACCCAGCAGCAGAGCGCGTACTCTCTCTACGATCCTACCACTGGCCAGCAGGCGCTCTACGAGGCCACCAACCAGCTCGCCAACCAAACTGCCCAGCTTAACCTTAACAGCTATGGTGGTGTCCAGCAGCCGGCTGTCGGCACCCCCCGCTTGCAGGTATCCCCTCCCCCGACCGAAGCGAACAAGTCGAACTCGCGGAACCCTTCGCCCCCTCGCCGCTTTGAGTCGCCCGTCGTCGAGACTGCTGTCAACCCCCTGCCTCCTCCGAGCGCCAATGCTTTCCGTCGTGGCCATAAGAAGAGCATTTCGACTGCTAACGGCAACAAGAACCAGCTGACCATTTCGACAACCGAGGAGCTTCCCAAGACTGCCGGCCCCAAGACGTCGTCCTTCCCGATGACCCCGATGACCGCCGGTTATGGGCCCGGTCAGGCTCGTGCTGGCGAGCACCCCGTTCGTCAGCCGCGCAACCCCCCATCGCTGGATGAGCTCAAGTCCAAGCCGACCTCCAAGCACGAGGGTAGCAAGAACTTTGTTGCTCGCACTCGCCGCTCGGCAATCCACAACCTTGTGCGTGCTGGTCTTGAAAGGCGCAAGGAGGCCCGCTCTTCTGGAAGTATTAGCCCTATTTCTGAGAGCGCCGACGAGCTGGTGGAGACTCCCTTGACGGACAACGACAGCGACTCTGGCCGTAGCGGATCCGGAATCCTGCTCGACCACGACGATGCCGAGTGCAGTCTGCCTAGCTCGCGCACTAGCACTGGCAGCTGGGGCGCCATCGGCTCGGACCGCCCGAGCTCGCGCCAGAAGACCGACCGCAAGAGCGTTGATAGCACCAACTGCTCGGATAACGAGACGGCCAACCGGGACTCTGGCAGCTTTGCGAGCCTGTTGAAGAACAGCAACCGTGGCGCCAAGGCCGAGTCCGCTGAGGGTCAGCAGCGCAAGGCTAGGCTTGTGTTGAGCACTCAGAAGCGCAGCATTGGTGCTTAGAGTGCTACTTGCACAATAGGAAAGCTTTGAATGGGGCTTTGGTGTCTTGGAAGGGATGGGTTGGCGCTTTCAGGATACATGTTATGCTAATTACGATTATGCCCCGATGTCTTCACTTTTCTTCTACTCTTATTCATATGACACGTCCCCAACTGACATGTCTGCTGGGCAAGGTCGCTGTGCCACCTTGTCTTGGGCCTTTTGGTGCCCGCTCAACGGACAAAAACATACGGAAAACTGGAGAGGACGAGGAAACATGGCTTGGTGACGCTTCTACTCTTTTCTTGGTTCGCTTCACCACGACTGTGTCTTTGCGTCATGCATTTTTTGGGATTGGAATCTTGTTCTGACATTTACGCTTTTTACGCTTTCACATTCTGTATGGTTTTTTGTTTTCCGGTTCTTTACATTCCTTTGTTCGACATTGGGGAGAGGTGTCTTAGGGGGCGGTTCTGTGGCACTCGCAAACGGCGGCAAAGCAATGGTGTAACTTTCTCGGAGAGTAAAGGGTGAAGATGAGAGTTGAAGGTTAAGGAGTTGAGACTTTGCCGGGCTTGCCGGACATACATACGCAAATGCAAAAATGTGTCTACCTATTTCAAGTCTACTGGTTTATCGTTTAACATGGTGCGCCTGGTGATTCTTGTCAAGGACAAGTGTCATCCGTTCTCTCTTTCTAGTTGTGATGTGATGCTGTGCTTCTAGTTTGTATCGCTCGAGATCTTTGCCTCCGGGACCGGATCAACTTCCGTCAAGTGACGCGACAAAGTGATCAGATCAGTCCTTCGTCTTCACAGAGGTTCACGATGCACGTGAATTTCTTTACTTCCATTTCTCCAGCTTTCATGGCTTCCTGGTTACCTCTCATGTTCCAGTTTTCTAGATCCCGATAAACCACCACTGTCAGCCGCACTTTCTGCCGCTAAAGTCGCCCTTCTGCCTCAGTCAGATCGATACTAAGTTCCGTTCTCTCGTTCGGGAACGCTTCCACTGCGAACTGGAAGCCATGGGGTTTCAGAACGAGGGTAGCTAGGCTCTCACAGATATCAACGAGCCCTTTCTCCGGACACAGTCACAAGCCTTCAAACATTTCACCTACCAAGTCTTCACCGTTCACGGCACCCAGCATCAGATGTCGACGCCCCCGACGGACTCAATCCATCACACCCTCGCTTTACCCGCTCCATCCAGGCTTACACCGGAGGTCAAAGAGGTCTGCCAAATCAAGTGGGCCATGATAATCAATATCCCTGAGTTGCCTCATTCATAGACTCTATGGGGAAACCCTTTCCACTACCAGTTCCCCGCCACTAGCTACTCCGAATCGGAGAAAACACTTTCTGTTGACGTCTCCACTTCGATCTTCATGTCAAGAGCATGAAGCAGACCTCCGGCCCTTATCTCCATGTCATCAAGCGCCTTTGTCGCCTTGACGAGGTCCTCTCTTGTCTTCTCGAGCTCCTTTGTCGCCTTCTTGAGGTCTGTCTTGGCCTGTTTGATAGCCATCGTCGCCTCCTTGAGGTCACTCTTCGCGTCTTCTAGGTCGCTCTCGTCACCTGCACCATAAAAAAATTGTCAGTTCAAATTGCGCGTTCCTAGGTAGGGTAGTTTGGACGGGAATGCTCAGCTCACCTGAATCGGCAGCAACAGACTCAGAAGCACGACTCTGCCACCAGCACATATCATGCCACGCCCACAACCAAAGAACCGTGGCGGCAACGAGCGCGACGAAGGGGGGGACGGGCTTTCCGAGAAAAGCCGCGACCACAAACATGAAGCAGAGGGTGCCTAGAGGTATAGTGAGTGATTTGGTCAATGATCAGTACTCACTCGCAAGAGCTTATACCGTGTCGGGGTTTGGAAACATACGGATCGCAGCGCAAATGTCAAACTCCATCGTTGCGGAGCTGGAGCAGTCCTCGATTTTGGGCCGCTGCTTTTGTCGAAGATCGAGTGTAATAAAGTTGGCTGCCCTGGTATAGTAACTTGGTTAGCCTCAATTTGCTGGTCCAAGACTAAGGTACCTTATTGGCTTACTTTGTAAACGCTCTGGGGAGGGGACTCGAGTCTGGTCTTGTCTGATTATACCACAGGTGGTAGAGGTGGTGAGCACGGGATAACGCGACGAAGTGAGGTCAAAGTCAAAGTCAAGGTCAAGGTAAAGTGCGAGTCAGGTTGGAAGGGAAAACAGAAACGTACGTACAGTTATCTATGGGAACCTTGCGCAGTTACGGTTGTCAGCTTCAGCTCCAGTTTAAGGCAAAGGCGTAGAGAGTGGGATGAGCGAGGAGAGAAGAAGAGGAGAGAAGACGAACGAAAACGATCAAGTGGAGAGCAAGAGAGTAAAGAATTGAGGCCGAGAGCAGACAGTGTGCGCCAGACGCCAGACGCCAGTGAAATGCATGGACCAAACTAACGGGACAAAAGATCAGACGAATTCATATCAGGGTCAAAAGCTTTCCGGTTGGGCTAGGACGCGACGGGAGTAGTTGAGGCTCGTTTAAAGACGGCATGAGGCGCCGGCCGGCCGCCGAGGACGGAGGACGGAGGAAGGAGGAAGGAGCGCGTCTCTATCCCGTCAAGCCGTCAGGCCGCCAGCCCGTCACCATGCAACTCGCGTCTATCTCCTCGGCCCGGCAAAATTAAGGCTTTCCCAAGCGACGTACAACTAAGGTACCTATTAACGATCTACTTTTAGTTTTGCCCCAAATCACCGAGATGGTTACCTAATATCAATCGAGCGTACCGGAGTCACCAGATATTTGGCGTCCTGATGGAATACCACAGTGAGGGGACCAGAGGACAGGAGTTTGCGTGGATAGAGTACGGGCAGATTGAGAGGACCTTGGAGGAGGAGGAGAGAAAGAGGAAGCTTTCAGCCTGCCTAGGTACCTACCTAGAGGTAGGTTTGGTCGGTACCGTAGCCCGTACTCACGGTTGAGAAGATTCCGCCAGGACATTTCAGCCTAGTAGGTATGTTATTCTACTACCCTCTACCTGGGTCCTTTGCTCTGCCATCTCATGCTCAGGGGAAACAGAGACTACTAGGAACGGGAAAGGAGTACAAGGCTGAGGCGATAACTGATCGCACCACGAAACACAGCGCTAGGAGCAATATATTGTCCATGACCTTGGACGAAAGACTGAGGCGGACCCTAAATCCTTAGAAATCGACTTTTGTCTTGAGATGATAGTATTACTTGTTTGTGCAAGTTCCTCCTCGGCCGCCACAGTTAGCGACCTGATATCGAGACGCGTCTCAATACACCGCCCGGAATTTCAGCCACAACTCGCGATCCCCATCTTCGAAATCGGGTACGCGTCCATGTTATTGTTCGTTCCTCGACGGAAGGCATATAGAGATTGTCGAGCGTGGGAATATTCCGGTATGTCACGCTCCTAGTCCTGCCTACTCCCTTGGCGGCCTCGTGCCGTTTCCTCTACTACTAGCGACAAAACGTCTTCGCCAACTCCAGTGCACACAGTCACACACCACGAACTCGGCAAGCAAAAGCCCCCCCAAAATATCATACGCAATCGAGAACAGACGTCACCACGATCAATATCGAGATCACAAGTGCCGCCGACTTCTTTATCTACGGCGACGCCTTGCTCGGCCACGGACCTACACCGCGCCAACTGGACTTGGACGCAAAGTCGAGGATGAAATAAAAGAACAGGAGCGTTTCTTGACTCCGACGCGTCTCAAGAAGTTCATCAAAACCCAGCATCAGAGAACGTGGAGAAAATGAGAGGACGAATTCCAGCGCCATGTCCATAAGGAAGCCAAAGGAAGCCAAAGCCCCGGAGCTCGTGAGGCAGCTAAGCCGATCTGACCGAAGAAAAAGGCAAAGGGAAGGCATTCGTCCCCTGGCGTCCTGGCCCGCTGGCAATTCCCCTCAACGATTCAACCATGACACAACCGTAGATCAAGCTTACGATGGTCATCAGGGCGCCTGTTCCGACTATGCGAGAAAGACATTCCTCTTCTGGTGCAGATGCGGTAGAGAGACAGATGGGTGATGGGGCCTAAATCGCGCCACCACAGTGGTTGCTGGTCTTGGTCCCTGTCGGGAGCGACTTTGATGGAGGCCGGTGGTCTGGGGTTCCGGGGGTCCGGGGGAATGGTCGAGTTTTCGTCGTCTGGATGGATGGCAACGGGAGTCGGGAGTCGGGAATGTAATGTCCAGGGAACGTAACGGGGGACGTGGTGGAGGAGGTCGTTGAGGAGGGGAATAAAGGCAAGGAGGGCAACACAATAGCCGCTGACTGACCCTTGATTATGTCCAACGACTCCCGCCGCCGATGACGACATGGCGAGGGACCAAACAGGCTAGCTAAACTGATTGAAGACCACGACGAAATTGGCTACGCTTGCTCCTGTCGTGTCTGGTGTAGAGGGAGGAAGTAGCGTATCTTTACTGCTCTGGTAAAGAAAAAGGAGTGATCGCCTTATCGCGTCATCGTCACTGACGGAAGTCACGACCCTTTCAACATCTGTGCCTTCCATCAGTGCCGGATCCGGTGCCGGATGCACAACTTTGAGGGAAGACTGGGTGGGCATCTTGTGTGTGGTGATATCGAAGGGCCAGAACTGGGGAGGCAAGAAGGGAAGAAGTTGCTGTGAGCTTGTCGTGAGGTTCAATTATCCATCCGTGGTGTTTTGTCCAAGGATGATGAATTTAGGACGATTAGATGGAAGGTTAACACCGCCACAGCCTAGTGTCGCGAGGGTGAGTTAGTGTACTATCGCACGCCCCTTTGCCCGTTAACAATCCCGGCCATCCTGACTCGCCTGTTTTCGGTTCCGGTTCCGAGAGATCGGGCTCCCTTACCTCTATAGTACAGACTTGGTCCCAAGACATGAAAACCGGCATTGCAAGTTGCGGACAGAGCGGATAGGACTCCCCGGCAGCTACCTGGTAAATGATCGTGCGATTTCCACGGGTGTGGTGCTCCTAGTGCTCTTAGGTGAAGCTGAAACCGTTGGCTCGGTATCGCAAGTTTCCCAATGACGCACTTTGCGAATTTGCGGTCGCGCAGACCACCCAATTTCAGTACCGAAAACCGACCAACCATGGTTAAGTACGTATCCTGCTACGCTGGTGTTTGAAGATGGGGCTTGGGCTGAGCATCGCTGCGCTGGGGCTCGGCAAGCGTGAAGTGGCTTGCTGCTAACGTGTTGTTAACGGAAACACTAGCAGACAAACGCTAGAATCGACCGGAGATTGGTCTTTGGAGCTGATGTCAGTATTGGCGAGACCCTCATTACAGACTTGCAGAAGACATGGAGATCGCGAAGAGCGTTGGGATGCCACGATTGCTGGCTGTGGAGTGCTGGAGAGGATGCGAGGGAGCCGAAGATCGATTATCGAGTATGTGGAGATAATATGCATGGAGTTGGGGTTGAGTGTTTGCTGTTGTTGATAAATCATGTCGTCGACCCTTTGTTGTATCTGAGCTGCTGTCTTGTGTCTTCAATCTCATCCTCTTCCTCAACATTCACTTTTAGACGCTCAAGCTTACCGAGCCTTTTAATCCTCCGATTAACTTCAAAGCAGTTTGAACCATTAAGCTGTTACTCTTCGCGGTTAATACCAACCGACCTTAACACCATGATCTCCACAAGCGACCTTCACCTCCTCGGGTGCCACTTTGAACAGTACCCCAACTACCCAGAACGAACCTTCAAAGCAACGGCATCAAAGACTCCCAAGAACCACCAAGACTATGAGTCCCAATCAAATTTGGGAGTCTTCAACTTCCCCATTGTCAGCTTCGGTTTCGTCTTTGTGCTTTTGGGCATAACATGTGAGTCTCCCATCCAATACGCACAAGCCAAACCAACAGGAAGTTCAGACTAACACGATTTCCAATCAAAGGCACAATAGCTTCCATTGGCATCTTCCACTTCCTCACCCATATCCACCACAACGCACTGCAGCACCAAAATATGGACATTTCCACTTGGTTCCCTGCTCACCTTTTATCGATCTCGCTGTCGCCCCAGAACAAATCGGTCACGGATTCAATGATGGGATTTGCGTTCATTGAAGCATTGGCAAGGAAAGAGTTGGCCAGTAAATGGAGGAGCGCACTGGATTCATTTGAGGTCAAGTTTGAAGTGGAGGCAATGCCGTTTGAGAGTGCAGTGTTGGGGTTGGAGAGTTTCGTTTATAATGTTGCTGGGCTTTGATGTTGACGTTTTGTTGACGGAGGTACTTTGTTTCAGCGATCTTTCTCAAGTAATCTTTTATTTGGTGGTTTTCTTTTCCTATGGTACCTACATATTGCCCATGCCGGATGCATAGTTCTGCTGACCTTGCCGGTCGCCCTTTCCTTTGTCACATAGACGACCTCATTTGACGATTGCGTTGAGGCCCAGAAGCTCCTTTTTTTTTCCTTTCCTTAGATTTCTCTCAACCCCACTGTATACTCTTGCTCCTTCCCTTTCGTTATTGTGACCCTTTACTCATTTTCCTTCCTCATTCATTGCTTTCCTCACCGCGCCCGGGGTTGATCAAGACGAAAAGAAAAAAAAACCAGAACGAAGATAGAAAGTAGGACAAAAAAGATGCGCGGTCCGGGATTCGAACCCGGGAACTTCCACTATCAGGTGGCAAGGGCCCCAGCCCGACAAAGAACACCATAGGTATTCGAAGTGCCGTTTGAAGAGCGAACGCGTTGACCACTACACCAACCGCGCTTTGCTTTGTTTGTTGGAAAGAGGTCTGCGGACCTGATACATATACCTCCTGTCGACGAGAGTCAGATAGTGTCCCTGGTACCCGGTGCTCTTACCCAACGTCATACTCCCTTCGGTGCCAGCCTACGTTGAGACTCAGCACGCTCCTTCTGTTTCGTGGATTGTTTATTTTCTCATCAAACCTACCCTCGAATGTCTCGCTCTTTCGTTCGTGTCACAATTCTTGAGCTCCCATTCATTTCTTGTTTCTCCCATGCAAAGATTTCTTCTTCTTCCGAACCACTTTTCGGGTTCTTGCTTGTCCGCAAACCAACAGCCCTTTTCTCACTTCTTGATCCAAACCTGTGATAGCTGCACTTTGAATGCCACGGTACGTTTGTTCAACCCAGCGTAATCTCAGATCCAAATTTCTAGCCACTAATACTTGTGCAGGCGTTCGGGTTTGCCCTGAAGAATTGTTCGACCGTCAAGATACTATACAATCTGACACTGGATGAAGTGAAGAAGGCAGAAGATCCGTTCGACTTTTATATCTTTAACTCTGATGTCTTCATTGTGAAAGATGAAGTCTTGAACACGAGTGCCTTGCACATCAACTTGACACGGAAGCCTGATACCGGCTTGCAAGGCGACATGGAACACCAAAGCTGCTTTCTGTACCCTGCAATGGTCAACTACAGCCCGAGTCTCGACCTTGATGGGTTTTTCCAATTTCAAAACTCAAGCTGGAAAAGCGATACAGCCGTTAGTCTACTGTAAGTTAAGTGTATTTCATGGCCTTGTGGACAATCTGTTTCCTGCTGCCCACACACCCGTTTCTGCCTGCAATCACCACCAAACCTCGGTGCTTGCAGGAACTTGAACCAAATCGATATCTTTGAAACCATCAGCACCAACCTCTACCAATCAGCCTCTCTAGCCAGGTTCACAGGCAATCCTGGGAGGTGGACAATGAACAACGTAGGCTTCCTCTCCAACATTTACTTTGCCACCGATCCCGGTTTTCAATCCAGTGAAGAGCCAGAACATCTGATGTACACCGACCCAATGGACAACCTGATCAACTCCTTCCGTGACCTCGCTCTTCGCATGTCGGTCAGGGAGGCCCAAGAGAAGAACGACGGAAAGCTCTCTACCGAGCTAGTCGTGGCACAGAACGTCTCCTACGTCAGCAACACCACAAGGGCCGAGTATGCAACGGACGAAGATGCGTTAGCTCTGGGTGTGGTTGTCAGCTTGATAGGGCCTGTAGCTACCCTTGTTTTGTTCTGGGGCTTTTGGAGGCTGGGGAGGAAGGTGACGATGAGTCCCTTGGAAGTCATCAATGCGATGTCTGTTTCGCCGGCCACCGGTGCTCAAAACGGCACGGAAGTGGCTGGCATCTTTGCTGATTCCAAGGGCAATGTTGAGGGCGCGGCAGTGGCGGATTATGTCAGGAGCAAGGAAACTGCAGGAAGCGGGGAGCCGAAGTTGCAGTACGGTGTTGTGGAGGAGACTGGCCGGTTGGGCATGGTGGTGGTAAATGGGGTGCTTCCAGAGAGGCGGGGAGTCAGGAGGCCGATGAAAGGGGAGGTGTTGTAGGCACTGGTAATGGTTTCAGTCTTGAGGTGGGTCTGTTGCGTCCGTTGCACTGGCTCTTCAACGTCGGTTCGTCACCTCCATCGAGCAGGAATAACAGCAGATTAACGGTTTAGATGCAGCGCTATTTGACTTGTGTGGTCCGTATCAGGGGAACTGTTAGTGCACAATCTTCAGTCAATGCAATGTCTTCCTGCAGCCTCCCCGGGCGCGCATTTCTGCTGTGTATAACTCTTCAATGTACTTGTCCCCATCAACTTCCCTTTCATCCCTTTGCCAACTTCCTCCAGGTCAGCTGCCATCCACACGAATTCAATGCACTTTTTCACCCACTCGCGTTTCAATCGACCTGCTGAAGGTGGTCGAACAGAGAGCCGTTCAGGTGCGCCATAGCGACTTATTTGACGAATAAAAACAGCGACCATGCCACCCTCACCGTCGTGGATGTGGTGCGCCAACCCCATGACCAACAAAAAGTCTCGGAGCCGTTCCCAGGAGTGCCCTGACGACTTGACGTGCTCAACGTTCTAGAACGTCCCGGCGGAAAGTACCAAGCTCCACCGCCAGTCAATAGCTTGATCGACTACCGGGAAGCCAATCTTAAATCTCCGCAGGGTCGGGAGCTAGTTCATTCCCTGTCACTCACGCGAGCCTAATTGAGTCTGGACTCTGGACTCAAAACTTGGTGGTCCTTGTGGTCGAAGGGTCCAAATGGGAGGTTTCTGGTGGCCGGTGGCAGCAAATCCTCGGCTGTGGCGTCCTTGGTGTAGCTGAACCGCTAGCTCGGGACAAGCACCGGACTTCACCATCCGGGATTTCACCCTATCAGGAGCTTCCCGGGTGTAGAGATGATGTTTACCGTGTTGGGTTTTGGACTTTTGGTGGCTTGCAGCTATTGAATACCGTTGATGGGTCATGCTTGACTTGACATTGGTTGCATGCCGAAGCGGTGGGATGTTACTTACCTGGGCTGCTAGCTTCGAATCCTTCGATGGGAGGGAGCTGAGGTTTCTCAGTTAGGACTAGGAGGTGAGTGCCGACCGACGCAGTCCATGCCATATATCCTTCCAAGGGCCAAGCTTTCCTTCGCCTTTCTCACATCTCTCTCCCTCTCTTGCGCCACTCGATTGCTTTCTTCAAGCCACTCCTGAAGCGTCCTACTCCTGCTGTCCTTCGTCTCTTTTGACTACCGAGTTCGAAAGGACAGCCAGAAACCATGGGATCTCCAGACGAGAATGACCAGTTTGGCTACGATCATGACGTCCAAGGAGTGCCTTCCACCCACGAAAACTCATTGAAAGATATCTCGAAAACGGAAACAAACGAAGTCACGAAAGACGAGGATGTCAAGCCTTCCCCTCCGTCATGGAAGCCGGGTGCCCTGAGACAGTTCCCCATCTACGGCATCCTCCCTTTGCTGTTGAGTATAGTTTGTGTGTACCTCTTTCCCCAGCAAATCACACTCATGATAACCCATCTAACACCTCTCCCCCACAGGCACCGGCATAGCAATCCTCATAGTCCGCCTAACGCACCACAAAGACATCGAGCAATGGTCCGGTCGCAAGGCTCCGCAAGTGCTACTCTCCTACACGACCACCGTCGCCAACTCCCTCATGGGTGTGGCGTTTGCGGAGGCGGCGGTGATCACCTTCTGGAGAGGAGCCGTGAGCGGGATGCCGGTTAGTAACTTGCATTATGTGTGGTCTAGCTCGAGCAGTGTTGTGGGTGCGCTGAATAGTTTGTGGAGGAGGAGGGCTGTTGGTGTTAGTTTGGTGTCCATCCTTGTGGCCATCTCGACCCTTCTTCGCGGCCCTCTCATGCAGAGATCCACCTATGTCGAACTGGTTGATCTCGAAATCTTGGACACGATCAAGGTCCCGGTCATGGCGGACATGGGCAATGATTGGGGCGGCATGATGACGGGGCAGTCGTTGATGGACCTCCGCTTTGCTCCCGGCTTCGCGGACACGGTCGCCAACTATCAATCTCAGAGCCCGATGTCGCTTCTCGGGGCGAATTGCACTAACTGCGATTTGAACGTGGTGGTAAGTCCTCTCGAAGTGCTCGGTCAGTTGGTCGCCAACTTACTTACTAACCTGTTGCACACCCGATAGGCCTTCGGCTTCCAAGTAAACTGCACAGCCACCAAAATCCCGTACAACCTCACCGGGAGCTTCGAAGCCATTATGAACCAAACGTTCAAGGCAACCGTGTTCGACTCCAGAATCGGCATTGTCGAAGAATCCGCGAGAGGGAGTTTGATCAACATCAGCGTAGTGCGCAAGGTCGATGTTGGATACGAAGGTAACTTGGAGCACAAGGTGTGCTTGCTGGCTCCTTCTTTGCTGAACTACAGCATGAATCTCGACGGCAACATCTTGAGCTTCAAGTCGGAAGACTGGTATGACGTCTCGGCTGTGGAGGACCCGTTGAATCTGCCGCCGGTGGACTCCTTTGTTAAGCCGATGTAAGTTTTTCCCCTTGTCCTTCTTTTTCCCCCTTTAGACCCAACCCAAACTGATCCCCCCAAAGCAACATGACCCTCGCCTACCGCTCCGGGCTCGGCAGCACCATCCCCGCCCTCCAATCCATCGGCTCCCTCCTCTTCGACTCCAGCTCCAAGGTCTCCCACGGCGGCGCCGTAGGCTGGACCACCTCCAACTCCGGCCTCCTCTCCAACCTCTTCTACACCGCCGAAACACCCGCCTTGCGACGCAGCTCCGATCCCAAGGATTACTCCTTCGAAGACCCCATGCAAGACATCATCAACGCGTACCGAGACATTGCCTTCCGCATGTCTTTGCAGGCAGCTACCGAGGAGAACGAGGGTCTCACTGATCAAAATGTGAAAGTCTTTCAGGAGGTGGGGTATACAAGTCATACGTCCATGGCAAGGTACGCGATGGATAAAGCTGCTCTGGCAGTGGCGGTGGTGATTAGTTTGTTAGGGCCCGTGGCTACGCTTATCCTGTTCTGGGGGTGGTGGAAATTGGGGAGGAGGTTCACGATGAGTCCTTTGGAGATGATTAATGCTGTTTTGGCACCTGTGGAGGAGGAGTTCTTTGGCGATGACGAGGAAAAGGATGACAGAAGGCAGGAAGAGAGACCGACACAGGGCACGGGACGGTCTGCCAAGCGGGATCAGTTGGAGGTGGCCAGAGTGTTGGCTGAGTGTGGTAAGGGTGATGCGTCGGGAGCGGATTTGGCGAATCATGTTAGGCAGAAGAAGAAGGGGGATCAGGAGCCGGTGGTGAAGTATGGCGTTGATGGAAGGGGAAAGCTTTCGATGCAGGTTGTGGGCGGTGGTGGTAGTGGTGGTATGAGGCGGAGAAGAGAGAAAGAAGGGGGGTTCGTTTCGGGGCTGGTGGATGTTTTGTTGAATGATGGGTGAAGGGTCCGCGTGGTTGAGAATTGTAAATAATGTTTTGGGTGGTAAGAGTTGGGTTTGGTCGAGAAAGGAAAGGGCGAATGAGATGTCATGTTAATATGGCCCTTGGTCAGTTGGCGGCGCCTTGGTTAGTGCGATAACTGTCTTGCAATCCTCTTGGCGTTCAATTCGTTCCGTTGTCCATGCATTTCATTGCAATTCCATGCTTATAAAACTGAACACTATCAGAAGGAATCTTGCTGGTCGTTAGCAGTGGCTTTGATATACATTCAGCAATTGAATTGAGTTCAAAAGACAAGGGCAACGACATGCATAATGCATGTCCTCTCATCAGCGTCTTGGGCACCCATGTGCAGACGAGCGTACCACACAATGGAACCTCCCCTCATCCTTCTACCAACTCTCTAACATCCTCCTCAAAACCTCATCATTCATCTTCCACAACTGCGTGCTAAAATCCATAGCAATCGCATTCCCCGTATACCAGGTCCCCCTTCTCCCCTGCAACTTATACAACCTTTCCATCCACCCCGCCCTCATATCCTCCGCAGTCACCCCATATCCACCCGGTCCATGATCCGAGTACTCCAACACCTTCAACTTGCTTTCCTTTCCACCCTTCTTCCCACCCGCTGAACCTGCACCTGCACCCTTCACAGTCCCAGCAGCAACCATCCGATCCAAACTCTGCTGCGCCACCTTGATCGCCTCCCGCTCATCGAACTCCCCGTAGCTCAACCCGGAGCTGCTCGTGCCGATGCTGAACAGTTCACTATCATTTCCGTAGCTGGAAAACTCGAGAATGTGCGGCTCGTTGATGAACGGCTTGTTGGGGTCGGTGGCCGCGAGGATGGGCGTGTTATGCAGCTCGTAACCCCTCGGCAAAGCGGGAGAGGAGACGATGGCCGTGCCGTAGCGGCCGTATTTGGGACGGCGGAAAAGATCGCTTTCGACTGCGTTCAAGTCGAAAGGGCTCAGGTTTTCGCGGGTGGGAGGGATGGCGAGGAGGATTTTTTTGGCGCGGATCACTGTAGTGGTCGCGGATTTCCCAGAGGTGGTGGTGCGGATGGTCACCTCGATGCCGCGCTTATCACCCTCCTTTTCCGGGCGCCGGACGCTGGAAACGATGGAGTTCGTGAGCACGTTCTCTTTGCCGAGGGAAGAGTGGATGGCGTTGTAGAGAAGCTGGTTGCCACCGTCGATGTGGAACATGCCGGCTTGCCCGAAGAAGACTTTCATCCAGGCTGGGGAGAAGGACTGCAGGAAGGTGAGGGTCATGATATCGGTAAAGTTACGATGGCGAGCGGCTGGACCGCCGCCCGTGGATTGGTACATAGTCGGCAACGCGTCGGTCACGTTCCACTTCTTTGCGAACTTGCCAATGGGCAAAAGCAAGTCCTCGGGAATCTGAGGGCCGGGAGGCAAGTTCCAGAATCCCGGTTCAACCATCTTGTCCCAGCCCTGGGAGACCATCAGGTCGTGGAAGCGGATGATGGCTGTGGTGGTGCTGAAGGGGTCCGGGCCGGTGTAGTTGGAGGGAAGCTCGAGACCGCTGGCGAAGTCGATGTTGCGGGTGATGGTGGCGCCGCGGGGGCCGAGACCAGGGAGAAGGGTCAGGTTAAAGCGGGAGATGAAATCGAGCCCGTCGAGGTAGGGGAAGTAGACTTGTACGCCGTATTCGCGGGGGATGGGAGGGATGGTGGAGGTATCGAGGTAGGTGTCTACGTGGCCGCCCTGGTGGTAACGGTGAGCTATGGTGGAGGCAGAGGAGCAGCAGAAGGGGAAGTAGGACTTACAAGGATGGCTTCCTTCTCAATCAAGACGACACTCTTATTGTAATCTTGTTGGAGTCGAAAAGCAGCATGGGAGCCGGCTGCTCCACCTCCAATGACGACGACATCTCTAGCGATGACTTTGGGGGCGTTGACGGTTGCGGCATGTACGTTAGAGAAGCTGGCAACTACGAGATAGACCTCGCAGAGTTTCTTGAAAGCCATTGTGACGTAACTTTGAAGGTCAGTAGCGGGCACAAAAGGGAAAGGGACAACCTGAAAACCAGAGATGTCTGTTGCGAAAGGCTTCCGTTCTTATTGGCATCCTTTTACAATCGCGGACTTTTCTAGACCGATTGGTGCAATGGCAACCGTTGCTTCCTGAATCTCTCTGCATCCAGGCATCTAGCAAAAGCGGTGAGTGCAACACTGTAGTGCTACTACAATTTGCCGTCGGCACAGTACCTTGCATACAGCCGGTGCACCCCCTAGGGGGGATTAGGAAAGTCATACGCGTTCTCGCCACGAAGTTTCTGTGGTACCCATTGAGCGCCCACTGAGAGGTTAACTCCGGCTCGCGGACATAACAGAAGAATGGCCGGGCAGCTTCGATTCAGCCTGTCCTCTGCCGTTCGTGGTAAGATACTTAGTGTCGAAGGATCAGTCGGCTGGTGGTCGTGTCAGCTTTATCCCTATCCAGAATTTTGTTGTCGGGGCTTTGGAAATTCCCGAATTCGAGATTGTGGAAAGTTTGTAACGCAAAGGGCGTGTTCCATATTGTTCTGGCAATAGCACAATGGCCGAAAGCCTTCTTTAGGTGACAGAAACGCCTTAGGTTAGGGATAGAAGAGCTTCTCTTACTGCAGCATGACAGAACGAGCACGGTCAAAGGGAAGATGCGGGAACATGTTCCTTGAAAAGTTGACAGGAGAACCAATAGGATACACCCTTGTTGTGAATCCTCGGGAAAAGGGTGTCAGACTGTTAGTGGAGTAACTGCCAATAGCGCCAAATGCTCGCTACATCTTTGCAGTTGGTTGGACAAGAATCTGATTTACTTTGAGAGTTTGACGTTTCCATGACACTACCATATTCACCTGCCAAATTTCAAGTTCGGGCATTGCTTCACCTCTCGAATAAACCCACCACTGTCTCGTAGCGTGTAGGAATCATAATTGAGCTGGAAACTTCCTTGAGCTCGTCGGGGCTGTGTTGCATTGCTCTTTCCGACTAATCACTACCCCCATGCTTTTCTTTGCTCCCGTTCTTTGATTTTCGCTTGGTGAATCGAGCCGTGTCTTCCATATCCACCCTTTATTCCAGACTTTTGTGTTTGGGAGATGCCGCTGGGCATTGTGCTTGTAGCGAGGGCCAGGGTGAGATTACCGCCTTGGGCATCTTACTGGCAACTTTCGAAAGAGGAAAGAGGAAAGGCTCGAGAAAAGAGGGGAGCGAAAAAAGTGCCACTAGGCATCACTGCGGTTGCTAGAGCTTCCACTTTATGTCAGCTTCCTTCTTCGAGAGCAAAGTGATAATGATAATTCGAAGAGGGACAAGGAAGAAGGACGAAGCATAACATGCAACTAACCTCAGATCAACCGCTTCAGATTAGCCTCAGCCTGCTTCCGCTTCAGGCTGTTGATGCCGTCATAAAAACCCTCCACTTCCCCGTGAATGTGACTGGGACCTTCACTGTTGTAAAAGGCCACATTGCCCTCACTCTTCTTCACGTGAACCGTGAACCCTTTCTCCGAAGCAGACTTGATCTTGACCAAAGACGCAGCCTTCAACGTAAAGCCGGAAGTGCCGAAAGTCTCCATCTTGATGCATGCATCTTCATAACCGCACCGAGTAATGCTGAGGAAAGTATGGCCGTAAACGAAGAAGTCAGTTGAGCCTGTAAACTCAACATTGACGGGGGTAGTATCCGTGACTTCGATTGTGTACGACATTGTGATTTCGTGAAGCTTGGGAAGACGAGGTTCTTGGTGCGTTAGGTAGAGAAGTGTAGTTATGAATGTAGTAGCTGTCGTTGAAGCTGAGTAGGTATTGAAAGATAACTTGGGTGTAGGATCTCACATTATTCGTGGAGTTTTATCACAGAAAGCCCAGCCAGGAAGTACAGCTAAGGATTATTCGTCATTTCAGACATGCGACAACAGTATGTTTGCCGATAGAGGGACAAAAGCTAACACAGAGTATCCGAGACGAAAGGGTACAAAATGTCCAGCCCGCAAACAATGACCGATATCAAATAGAACTAGTCCAGAGGATGAAGCAAAGTGAGGATGAAGGGCACACTAGTAAGGATTCTTGCGCAGGTATCGCACGTGGATTGCAATGCTGTGGCCGAGAATTTGTTGCGAGCTGCATAACGTAGAGAGGAAATAGAAGGGATTGATACAACCTGGAAGACTCGACCAGACACACCATTGAAGAGAGGAGAAGCAGTTCCGTGGAGCATTGGATGTTGCTATGTCCTGTATTTCGCCTTGTGACTGGTGCCTTATATCTTTCGATGCTCACTGGGCAAGTCCGTAAACTGCACCACATCTTCTGTGAAGTTCTCTATACAGCTCCGACTCCTCCTGTGACAAGGGCAGTGTTCTGGGCTTGGAACAATAGTTCAATTCAGCTAATAAACTACTTTGGTTCGAAGGCCTTGTTGATCCTCTCAACCTCTAGGGGAAGGCTGGGCTTCAAGGCCTTCTTATGCCAAAGGGAAACTGTACGTATCCAGTACGTACGGGTCCTTGTCACCTGAGGCTCCAAGGCACCTAGCGATCTGCATACACGTAGGTCTTTCTCGTATGACACCAGGAGTTTGGCATATGTCCGTGTGACATGTACGGAATTCATTCTCTTATCATCCCTTCCACACGGGCAGCGGCAGGAACACCTGCAAACACCAGGCCGCCGCTTGCACTGCATCTGCCTCTGTTTACAATTGTCCAACACTTCATGTTGGCTCTTTCCATCTTCCATTTTCCTTTTCTTCCCTTGTTCTTCCCCTCTTTCAGTTCATCCTTTTCTTCCCGTCCGTTTCTTACTACTTCCTCCCCTTAATCAAATCCGCCGCCTTCTCCGCCACAGCATAAACAGTACTACACAGATGCGCCCCTGGAATCAACGGCATAACACTCGCATCCACGACCCTCACTCCCTTGACTCCATAAACCTTCAACTCAGTATCCACGACACCACCCAGCTCGCGGGGCATCAACGACGCCGTCCCTGACAAATGCGCAGTAGTGCTAACGACTGTATCCCTCGCCGCCTTTTCCAGATCTTTCTCACTGGCAACTTGCGCGCCGGGCGCCAGCTCTACGGGGTGGAAAGTGGATGAGATGGTTTTGGTGTTATGCAGCACGCGCCCGAACTTGAACGCTTCCATGGCGATGGCCAAGTCGGCAGGGTTGCCAAAGGTGTTGAAATCCACCAGTGGCTCGGCGTACGGGTTGCTGGTGTTAATGTTGATGGTGCCGCGCGAGACTGGCTTGGTCAGCATGAGCAGGTAATACCCGCCGTTGCCGGCGAAGGGCATCTCGAGGGCCGCGTTATCTTTGCGGAGCAGGGACGAGCCAAGGAGCTTTTGCTGTTTGGCGTAGCCGGCTTTGAGGGTGGCAGCGCTGTACGACGCGGGCAAATAAGCGGCGGATGACTGGGAGAGGTAGGACTTGGCGAGGGAGGTGTAGTTCGCTGGGGATACGAGGGAGAGGGGGAGGAGAGCGACGCTGTTGGCCATTAGGGGGAAGAGGAGCGGGTGGGTTGGCGGGCGGAGCGGGGGCAGTGGTGTAGTTGAACATCATGGTTACTTGGGGGTGGTCTTGCATGTTAGCGCCGACGCCAGGAAGGTCGATGACAAGGGGAACGTTGGCCTTTTGGAGGAGGGAGGCGGGACCGACACCGCTGCGTTGCAGGATCTGGGGCGTGTGGAGGGCGCCGGCGGCGAGGATGACTTCCTTCCTGGCCTTGATGGAAGTGATCTTGGCCTTGGCGTCGGTTATGGAGTCCCGGGATTGCATGTTGATGCCGGTGGCTTGCTTCTTCTTGTCAAACGTGATGGTATTGACGCGCCACCCGGTAAGGAGGTCAAGGTTCTTGCGCTCGGCTACGGGGGCGTAGTATCCGGTGCGGGCATAAGAGCGGGTGCGGGTGCGGTCATCGATGGAGCGCTGTTCACATTTGCCTGGGTCAGTATCGTGGTCAACGAAGAACAGGTGGCTGACAAAACTTACAGTAGCCCAAAACAACCCGTGAGCATTTCCGTCATCACCACTCTTCTGGCGTTCCGCTCCCAACTCCTCGAAACCCGTCCACACCGACTTAAGAGCCGGGTACTGAACGGGGTAGATGCTAGCCTGGATCGGTCCATTCTTGCCATACACCTTCTCGTCCCAGGTGGCGTTGAACTCCTTGGCAAACGCGGCGTCAGGAATTTGGAGCGTCGTGCTCTTGATGAAGTAGGGCAGGAGGCCATTGAATCCCCAGCCGGGGTTGCCGAGCTTCTCCCAGTTGTCGTAGTCGTCGGCAGCGCCGCGGTTGAAGAACATGCCGTTGATGGCGGAGCCACTGTAGTGTCCATGTCAGTGCCTGGTCTTAATTCGGAGGATGGGATAGGGAAAGACGTACCCTCCAACGACAGCAGCTGCCGGGACGCTCTGAACCTGGTTTGCTTCTCCCAATTGGGTTTGTGGAACCGAAGTCAGGTTGTACTTGGTGTGCGTGGTATCGCGGAACACCTTCTGGATATCGAGGACATCGTAGGAGTCGTCGAAGTAGCCATACTCGACAACAAGGACGGATACTGTTGACGTTTATGTCAGTTAGGGTCTGTCTTCGTGGTTAATTCAATGTCCACTAACCCTTGGGATCCTCAGACAGTCTGTTGGCAACAACCAAGCCAGACTGTCCACCTCCAATGATGACATAGTCATACGAGCCCTTGATCTCTGAAGGCTTCACAGCTCGCTGCTTGAATTCGTTCTGGAGCTGAGGGTAGGCAGTTGCCAGAGGGATAGAGAGTACCTTCCAAAGGAAGACTACCTTGGAGAGCTTGGCCATGGTGTCGAAATCCTTGAGATGTTCGGATTTTGTCCCGTATCTACCTCAGAAAGGGAACTAGGAATACTTCATGTTCCGTCGACAAAGTCTGGGACACAGCCTTTATTTGATTTTTGGCCATGGCGGTCTACGGACCGAGCCTTCGAAGGATACCGTTCCTGAAGATCCTTTATTTTCTTTTTGTCATGGTCGTATGCAGGAACCCAACCTCCCAACCCTCTTCGGGTTCATGATCCGTTCCTAATGGAGCCCGCCAGGCCCACAACGTGTGCTTTGCCTTTTGAAGGTTCACGCTAACCTTTCACAGTCCGCACGATGTATGTACCTATGCACCAAGGTAGCACGCAGGCGTGCTTCACAACCGCGTGTTGACCATGACCATGCTTGTTTGTGTAGCATGGCCGCTTAGACCACGATATAAATATCTCGCCAGAGGCAACAAGTCGCATCTCAAACCGCCGTTGGGCAATTGGAGAAATGTCTGGCGCGCCCATTGTCCATGGAAATATGTATGGCTCCTGCCTTCCACTGTTACTTTGCAGGGTTACTGGACTGATACACTGTTGCGCTTCTTTTCTTCCACCCATCCAGACCGCGACCAAGGCACCTTAACCAAGAAATCTAATATCGCCGGCAAATATAGTCTAGCCTGCCTTCCTGTTCACGTTATTTAATCCCGCTTTGACATTGGGCGTTCTCGGCGGTCTCGCCGGTAGCCGGTCCATGTTTTCCCCCTCGATATTGCGTGACAGCCGCATGAAGCCAAGAACTCGCCGCATCCAAAACCCAAGTTTGCCGTGTTCTTCCCTAATTGCCGTGCCGTGCTCGGTAAGGTAGGTAGTATTGCTTCAATACTCCATGGTCTGGCTTCTGGGCTGACAACACTGCCCCTGCCGATATTGTAGCATTGGCAGCATTAGCAGGCCTTCCATAGACTTGGAATCATCACCCGGCACCCGCCACCGCTGCAACATGTTGGACGGACGGACTGACCCAAGAGACCTCGAAGCCAGTGAGTGGGCTGAGGGACAGTTAATATAATCTACCTACTGAGCTTGTTCCCAATGATCAACCAAGCCAGGTCAAGGAAACCCAATCATGAATTACCCGAATCCGAGAGAAGCCCAGAGGCTGAAGTAGCTGCATGAGTGCTGGAATCCGAGCCACGTTAAGCCGAGCCGCGTGATGTTACACTGGACTCATTCCTTGAGGCTTACCTAGGTACCTACCTCTACCTACGATCAGGTAACCAACCTTGTTGGCAATTGCGGTGACAACAAAAGAGGAGGAGCAATAACTCCCCGCTCAAAGGACAAAGCGCAGAAAAAGTTTCCCGGGCCATACACCACTTGTCTATCTAGGTAGCACGTCCATGAATTGGTACATATCTCACAGAAGTTGAAAGACTGGATCCAATACCAAGTATACATGTTTAGGAACAAAAAAAATCTGTCAACCTGCCAAGAAAAGAGAGACTTTATCTCAGCCATTCTTGCCGGCGCCATTCCTTCCCGAATGCTGCACCCCTACGGACTCTGCCTGCCTACATACTGCCTAATACCCTTTGCGAGTTCCTCTCTGGCTTGGCGGCAACACTACCTTGGTACCTTGGTTGTACCGTGCAGTAGGGCTTACATTCTGATAACACCACTCATCTTGAGTACATACAGTAAGTAAGCCCTAGGACGCCGTTGTGGATTGGGTAACTTGGAAGTTCGTTCGTGGCGTGGAGACCGGTGGAGAAAGGCCTGGACGCACCGGAAAGGAAGGAAAAATAAAGGGGTCTGGAACGGGATAGTTCCCACTCAACTTCCCAGCGATGGGAATGGCTTTGAATCTGCCGAAGTGTTTGGTGGACATGGTTAACGATGGCCAGTTCTGGTCGGAATGGCGTTGCATGAAGCGAAGGACTGGCTGGGCGTGCATGTGGGAACCTATTCCGGTTGGGGAAGTGGGAAGTGGGCGAACATTCGGTGCGCGGAAGCAAATATGCGGTGGGGTACGAACTTAGATGCAACCTTAACGGGCAGCCGGCAAATTGACGCAGATAAATGTTAAGGTTGTACCTCAATACCCCCATGACCGACATTCACCCGAACATCAGACATAACTCCGCGACGAGGAAAAACAAAGAGCCAAGAGGTAGAAAACAAGGTGCAATTTGCTCTGGTATCAATATTCATAACCTTTTATATATCCCTGCTCCATCATCCCATCATTAATCCCATCGTTATCATCACCAACCGAAACCCCATCCCCGACCTAGACAACACCACTCATCATCACAACCATTGACACACTTTATCACCCACCAAACTCCCCTCCAATCCCTAAAACATCAAACTCCCCAACATGACACCCCCCAACATGGGCGCCATCAACGGCACTCCCAGTCCACCTCCATACCCAACCGGCCTCATTGGCCTCTGATACGGCCCCAAAGGCCTAGGATACCGTCCCCCTCCCATAGGCCCACAATCATACCCCCCCATACCCAAAACCATACATACTCCCCTCGGGCCTGAGATACCGTCCAGGCGGTCCCGGCTTCGTATAAGCATGGTAAAAGAGACTGAATGCCGTGGTAAGGGGGGGGGGGGGGGGGG